ACCTTAAACCGCATAAACACATTTCATTACACCAAATACACCAAATAATGTTCTTTTTAGCAACATCATATGACCCCTTTAATACACACAGCAGATGGACACACACATGAAGCATCACCGTCTACTATTGTTGAACGAGCCAATGGGACGAGTGTGTGTGTGTGTGTGTTCATCTCAAACTCAATCGACTCTCATCTGCTGCTCAGGTAACACACATTCACTCTCACTGTGTGTCTGAGCGTCTCTGCATGTGTTTGCTGCTGATTCAGTGCTGATATAGTGTGTGTGTGTGTTAATTCTGATGTGTGTATGGAAGCGTTTAAATGTAAACCGCAATGCCTCTGGCCGGTGATGAGCTCGTCTGCCCGAAGTTCCAGCCCAACATCTTCGACTCCACCCGCTGCCACGACTGCTTACGACAGAAACACCTGCACAACACCTGCATCAGCAGAGCGCCAGCGCCTGTAGATGCTCAGAGCTGCTGAACAGAAATGAGTGATGTAACACCGCACAGCAGTCAAGCTCTGCAGTGTGTGTGTGCCTTTAGAGCTTATTTAGTTCTCAGACTGACTGAATCATCAGCTGTGTGATGCTTTAACAGATTAAAGTAATATAAGAGAGTGGATATGTGTGTGTGCAAGCACATTCTCATTATTAATGTATGAAGGCAGATAATTTTCTCTTTGTGGCATCAGAGTAACACAATACATCCACAGATAGACTTCAACCGCTGAGAACTGAACTAAACCTGAAACAGTTTACCCAAGAAATGAAAATCATTCCTTTAACATACTGGTTGCTAGGGTGTTCTGAGTGGCGTTTACCAGGTTACAATACAGCTTAAAGTGGCTTCATAAATTATTAAAAAAATTGTGAAAACTCAAAACACACCTGATGCCAATTCTTTGCTTTTCATTTTACATAAGCAGAGTTAACATACCGTGCTGTATTTTCTTGTAATTTATTAAAAGAAGGTACACCGCCATCTTGTGCCGACGAAAGTGACTTGAACGCACCTGACGTTGTAATTACGACTTGTCAACTCGTAAGTACGAACTTCCCAGGAGGACTTGAACGCAGCATGAGTGGTGTTTACCAGGTTACCAGTTCAGATGGTTGCTACAGTGTTTTGGTAGTCTCTGGAGTTTATTGCGGGGTTGCTAGGGTGTTTTGGGTAGTTCCTCGGTTCTGTTCAGTGGTTGCTAGGGGTTTTAGATGGTTGCAAGGGTGTTTTGGGTAGTTGCTTGGTTCTACTTGGGTTTCTAGGGTCATTTGGTTGGTTGATAGGATCTTCTAGGTGGCAATACTTACTGCTAGTGGTTTCAGCACAGCACCATGAGCACTACTATTAGTGATGACTCACACACTAACTAACATTACTAATGAAACTCACTTTGAGCCACTGGAGCACCGGAGATGTAAAATAGTTAAAAATACCAGTCAGAAAAGAGTTATGGTGTAATCATGTTTAAGATCTCAGAATATCTCTGTTTTCATCTGAATTTGATGAATACTGATATTTCAGCTGATGATTCTTCAATGATCTGAAACAATGATGAGCAGAAAAACCACAAGCCAGACCGAGTTACAGCTGTGAAACCCTAAACCAGTACAGTGTGTGTGTCTGTGTGATACTGCATGTGCAGTGCCATTTTAGTTGCTTAATTTCCTCAGAAATCTCCTGTTAACAGGCCCGAAAGAACACAGATCAGTTTGGCTGTATGTGCTGCTCTCTGATTGGTTGGCAGTGTTCCGTCCACCAATCAGGACGACTCAGATGTGCTGTCAGTGGTGACCTCTGCATCTTGAGTCCCGACTGTGACCTGTACCTGTGTGACGGAGACGACGACCAAAGCTCCGACAGGTAAGGCTGCTAAAGAACCCCCACTTGATATTCAGCATTGAAATCTGATTGACATGTTGAGTCTGTGTTGTTATGTAATTTATCTTGTATTGAATGCAACTTTTATTGCATACTTTGCTCTAAGAATGTGTTTTGGGGACTTTTGGGGATGAAATTCTCTTGCACTCTGTAGGTTGTCAGTGTGTCGAGTTCTGGCGTCATATCCTATTCTTCCCTTATATATCTTTAATTCCAGTCAGGGTGACAATTCCGTGTACAGCAGCTCTGCCGGAACAGAGGAATACTCCAGCCTGCTTCATCATCCTTCATCCTGCCATAGAATGACCCGCTTGGATCCGCCACCGCACCGGGCGAGCCCCCGAGGATGGACGGAGGTGTCTCAGAGTCGCCGTGATGGTTTTGGGCAGTTCAGTTTTTCTCACGGTGAGGAAAACACCAATATCCAGTTACCAGTCGAGCAGCTTGTGGTGTTGTTTGGATAGTTAGAGTGGCAGTTTGAGGTGTCGGGTTGCACCGGGCTTTTCCTGAGTGCTGCGTCACAGTGCACAAGTGCAGTATCATTTCACATATTAACACAGGTCATGATCTTGTCTCTCTGTCTGCAGGCAGCGTGAAGGAACGGAAGGAACGTGAGAGTGGATATTTCTCTCTGGGAAAGGCTGCGGGCAGCAGAGCTTTCCGTGATCAAAGCCCTTCTGCTCCCTATCGGCATTCTGAGAGAGGGCATCCCCTGCCTAGCAACAAAAGCCCCGAACCCAAAGCCACCATTCCATTTCGAAACCCGGGTCTGGGCATACCTTCTAAAAGGAGGACCTCTGAGTTTCAGAATGGCGAGCAGCTTGCAGAAAACTATCCTCCGCAGTATCCTCCAGAGCCGCTGGATCTCAGCCTGGAGGTCGAGGCCCTCGCAGGTCCCCGGGCCCTGAGTCCCACCCCTTTCAAGCAAGCTGAATCGTTTGGTGCCTCCAGTCGAAGAGGTGGACGAAATGCCCAGATGTCCCCCTTACGGCAATCAGGAACGCTCAACTCTTCCCAAAGAGGTTCTGGTCTCACCCGTTCCTCTTCTCCCTCCCGTAGTACCTCCCCGTTCAGACGGGCCGAGTCCAGCTCCTCTCTCAACACGGTTGGCTTTCGTTCTAGCGGAGATTCACACGGACAAGATCAGGCATCGGTCAGCCCGGCACGGAACAGTTACTCTGGAAACCTCAGATCGTTTGCAAGCACTGCGGGCAATGTCAGTAGCATCAATAAGTCTCTGTCGTACATGGATCTGAGAGGCACTTTACGGAAACCCGAGACCAACAGCTCCTTCATTGGGTCTACAGAGAACCGTGGAAGCTCGTCCCCTTCCAGATGGAGTTATGACAGTCCTTCTGTTAGGACAAACGAAACGAAAATCCCTTCTTATGAGCGTGGTCATGACAGACAGGGATTCTCCTCCTCCTCCTTGAAGAGCCGCTATGATTCCAGAAGCCAGTCCCCTGTGGGGAAGCTGGAGACGAATGGCTCATCAAGTCAGATTCAAAAGGGTCGACGAAGTGCGTCTCCAGTCAGAAAGGGCTACGGAACACCAAGCCAATCGGATAGAAGATCCATGTCTAATGGATGGAGTTATGACAGAAAAAGCCCCTCCCCATCCAGAAAAAGCTATGAGATGCAAAGCCAAGCCACAAAGAAGAAACCAGAGGCAAAGAGCTCCCTTCACAGCTACAATCGAGACAGCCGACACTCTTCCCCAAGTAGAGGTCATCACCAAAACCCTGGCCCATTATTGCTTCGTAAGTCCAAAACAAGCCAGTCCACATCAAACTGTGGTCCCAAGAGCTGCAGTCCCTCCCCCTTAGCTCATAGCCAATCTCCTCCTCGCAAGTCAGAGAGTGGGCGGAGCCCCTCTGTGTCTACATTGAGGCGTGAGATTGCAGACTACGTCCCTCTGAGGAACACTATGAGTGACAGAACTGGCTCCGCCTCTTACGTAAGAAACACCATGAGTAGCCAATCACAGCACGATTCAAACCCTTCATCAGGTCGTTGGAGAGGCTCCACCCACTCTCTCCACAGCCAGTCAGTCTCACGTAACTCCTCCCCATCTCGCCACAGCAGCGAGAAGAAACAAATCGACTCCTTTACCAAATCTGCCTCTGTTGCCTGGGAACCGCCACAAGACGGAAACAAGAGGAGCAGCATGAGGCAGAACCCAGAGGTACAAAGCTCCACGCCCAACAGCCGACGAGCACAGAGCCGACACAGAAGCCCCTCCCCTCCGGTCCAAAGACACACGTCTTCTCAGAGCTCCATGGACTCCAAGTCAAGTCATCTCTCGGCCGGGTCATTGGGTCTCAACCGGGAGGAGTACACCATGATGGATGACCTTCCCAAGGCCAAAACGGTCATCCAGAGGGAGGGTCCGAGCCACCTAAGGAGGATGGAGAGCAGACAGAAACAAGAACTTTCCCGCTACAAACCGGCCAGGTGGACAGAATATGTCTGATCACTGTTCAACACAATAACACAATGTAATGTAATTTAATTAATCATAACACTGCAGTCAGAGCTCCAGGGCAGCTATCAAATAGTACCAAATATGAAATAAGCGCACATGTAAAGGCCAGAGGATGAGTAGGGCACTGTGAATGTTGGCAGATTTCATATGGGTCTAGTCATATCGTCAGAAGAGGGTCACACATGGTCAGCGGGAGGAAGTGACCCGGGTTAGCTGAAGCTGTGTTTGTGTGTTTCTAGTCACTCCCAGAGCAAAGCTCCTCACTCGGAATAGGATAGGTACACTATCAAGGGTTCACTCGTCCAGCTCCCTACACACACAGGTAAATAAACATACACGTCCTGTAACATTCACATGAAAATATTGAATATAATAGGCTAAAGATAAGAGATTCTATAACTAAACTGAAACTGTTTCTAAAGGCCCATTCACACCATGACATGATATCCATTATGACGAACTATAAATACCATTCAGTGTTTTAATAATAGTTCTAATTCTGTGAAAACAAGAAAGTCTACACCACAATTTCAAATCACTTTCAGAGCAATTTTTCCTGGTAATGAACGATAAAAATATTGACAGCCAATTCAATTCATCCAACTTTAAAGAGCTCAAGCATTTAAAGTGACAGACGGTTCATATTTATTGTTATAGTTATCATTATATTCATTGTTATAGATATCAGTAATTGTATATACTGTAGATTTACAGTTGTCTTTATTGTTATCATTGTAGCTGTTATAGTCATATAGTTCTGTATGTTGTTTCAGGGTTGGCATCATCTGAGGTTCTCTGAGGGGTTGCATCATCTCTTCTCAGGTGTTCTGGATCCAGACTGAAGCTTGTGTAAATCCTAGTTACCACGGGATGTTAATCCCAGCAGAAACAGAGAAACACATACAAACATAATTAGCGTAGCTGCTGTTCCAACCAAGCAAAAATGATTTGTTTAACCCAAACTAAAGAATAATAATGTGCATTTGATTAGATATAACTGCAGTAAAAGATTATGACTGCAGTAAAAGATTATGAGATGCATTATTTGAATGCTTGGCCAAAGAGATGTGTCTTTAATCTAGATTTAAACAGAGATTGAGATATATAGTTGAGTATCATCGGCATAACAGTGGAAACTAATCCCGTATTTCCTAATAATATTACCAAGGGGCAACATGTATATCGAAAATAGCAGAGGACCTAGGACAGATCCTTGTGGCACTCCATATTTTACTGGTGATAATTGAGATGACTCCCCATTTAAATGAACAAGGTGGTAGCGATCGGACAGGTAGGATCTAAACCATCTAAAGCCTGCCCTTGGATACCTGTATAGTTTTGTAATCGATCTATGAGTATGTCATGATCTATAGTATCGAACGCAGCACTAAGATCAAGTAAAACTAGCAATGAGATGCAGCCTTGGTCTGACGCAAGAAGCAAGTAATTAGTCATTTTAACAAGTGCATTTTCTGTGCTATGGTGGGGCCTGAAACCTGACTGAAATTCTTCATAGAGATCTGCTGAGGTCCGAGAGCGTTGACCTGTGTGTCAGCCGTACTGCTCATGTGTTTCACCCGTGTTTGTGACAGAAAGCCAGCAGTCCGGCCGCGGAGCAGACTCAGTCCGGCAGAGCTTCAGGACAGACGCAGGTACAGTAACACCGCCGTCTGCCTGCGGAGACGCTGTGGTTTCACCGCTGCTCACTCTGTGTGTGTTTGCTCTGCAGAAAGCGCACAGACCGTCGGTGTATTTCTCCTGCAGCGTGGAACAGACCGATGAAGAACCAATGCAGCAGGCACGTCATGACCACACGACACTCAGCATTAAAGAGATCGTCCACTCACAATTAAAAACTCTCGACAACATTTACTCACCACATTGTTGTACCAAACCCGCATGACTTACTTTCTTCCACGGAACACAAAAGGAGATTCTAGGCAGAATGACAGCTAGGGATGGGCGAAGTACTGATCCTCACATGAAAAATATCGAACCTAAAGTGCATTTTTAATCATTCATTTTATTAATTTAGCAAGAAATTTGGTGCATAAAATAAGTTTCTAAGTGGAAAAATAGACGTAATATTAGCGAATGTTTGTGTAGGATAGAACTATTTCTCCTGCTCATCGGAACACACACAAACGCTGAAAGATAGAACCAACCAATCAACCAATCACAGACAGATTGTCTTCGCTCGCAGTGCTTGCTCAAATATGGCTGTGTTTCCCAGAAGCATCAGAAGCAGCAGCCAGTGCCACCACTGCCCTTAAATTGCACAACTGCTCAAGATGTTGACGTCAGTACGATTTTAAAGAAAATTAATTCTTTTATTCATTCCCCCATAGCCTATAGTAACAATATAAACATATTTTTCATCAAATTCAGAAAAATGTATCACGGTTTCCGTGCAAATATGAAGCAGCACAACTGTTTGCAATATTGATAATAATCAGAAATGTTTCTTGAGCACCAATGATATTGATTTCTGAAGGGTCACGTGATCTTGAAGACTGGCGTTATGATGCTGAAAATTCAGCTCTGATCACAGATGCATTTCAAATGCATTTTAAAAATAGTTATTTCTAATTGTTATATTTCACTGTATTGCCGTTTTTGCTGAATTTTTTATTCAAATAAGTGCAGCCTTGGTTAGCATTGTTAGAGGCTTCTTTCAAAAACATTACAAAAACATTACTGACCCCAGTCTTTTGAACAGTATAGTGTACATGTGATAGTTATGTTAATTAGGCTGTGCAAGTAAATATATTTAAACTGCTTGTTCAAAGTTATGTTATGTTCTGTAATTCCTGTTAATAAATCTATCAGAAAAACGTGTGCTAAAGTTTCATCTTTAGGGCTACAAAAGCCTGGCAGCATTTTACAAAAATTAACCATGGTTTTACTACAGTAACCACAGATTTAAAAACATGGCTTTCAAATATAATGTTAAGTTATTATAATTATGGATTGGGCTCAGTGCTGCGTTGAGCGGTTCTGATTGGTTGCTGTGCTGCGCTGGGCGGCTCTGATTGGGCTCAGTGCTGCGTTGAGCGGTTCTGATTGGTTGCTGTGCTGCGCTGGGCGGCTCTGATTGGCCGCTCGCTTCCGCCAAACTCTAATCGGGTCCCGCCCCGGCAACTGCGACAGCAGCGCGAGTTCCGCCAAATTTACGCCGAGGTCTGTCGATTAAATGATGAAAAGTGTTATTAAACATGATGATCTTCAGCTTTAAGGAAACTTGACAGCGCCGAGGCTCCTCAGATGCGCTTTATTTAATCTGTGCTGCGGCTGGATTTACCATCATGACGGTCAGTTTCACTTTAGCTGACTTCAGTAAGCGTTGCTGCGAGTGTAAACACGATGCTAGCTTGATTCGGTTTGATTCTGTTTCATGAGTACGGTCGGATTTCTGTCGTGTGTGTGTGTGTGTGTGTGTGTGTGTGTGTGTGTGT